TGATTCGTTCTCCCGAATCATCGTCGTCATCATCATCATCGTCATCATCATCATCATCATCATGATCTCTCCCGTCTCTAACGTTTAAGCAGCACCGTCTTCTTCCCGTCTATCTCACGCCGGTCCCCCAGACACACGCCCATCGCTGACCGCACGATTTTTCGCAGATTTCCGGCTCCACCATTTGGCAAGGACGCCGGGCAAGCCGCGGCGAATGTATCCGTGCGTGAAGTGCCAGAAGATCTACTCGAACGCGTCCTCCCTCTACCGCCACCTGAAGCTAGAGTGCGGCATGCTGCCGCAGTTCCACTGTCCCTACTGTCGCTTCAGCTCGAAAAGGAAGTTCAATCTGGACTCGCACGTCGCCCACAAGCACCGCAAGCTGCTCCAATGTTACATAAACAAATAGAACCGCGCCGCGACATCTCGTCGCCGCCCGGAACGAAATACTCGCATAAATACTCGTCGGCCGATCGCCGCGGAGACGCGTCGACGACGTTAAAGCCGGCGATCGCCGCGCACGCGCGTTCACAGGGAAACAAGCTACGCCGGGGGCGGAGGGTGTGGGGATGGCGCGGCGCGAGCGACGCGAGTCCCGCGAGGCGGCCGTGTCTACCCGGTGAACGCTGCAATCGCGACGCGATCGCGTCTCGGCCGCGCCGCTGCGCGGGACTCGCGTCGCTCGCGTCGCCTACCCCCACTCCTTGCAAGCCAGATCCGACTCGTCTCGTCGCGAACCCTGATCGTCCCTCTTTGCGTGTCTCCGTTACCCTGGATCTCGATCGCTGCGATCGAACGCCGCCAAACAATCGCCTCGATTACTTATATGAAAAGGTTTTTGTCATTGGAAGGGCCCGCCTGATTACGTTGATCGGGTTTTTGGATATTTTACGGAGGACAAATGATAAGGGATGCGTGTTTTTCCATTTTTTATATTTTTTCCCTGGTTTTATATTCAGGGGAGGAACCATCCCCTGAAGTTGACGATGATTATGTGGGACTTGTTGTAAAGTTTCTTTGTGGCGTATTTGGGTGGCTGAATATTGATCTTGTAGTCGGTGGTCGTTAAAACGGGGTGAACTACCCCTGGTCGTTTCGATGAATATTTAGAAAAAACTGGGGTTTGTGTATTTGTTTGTTAAGAAATCTTAGATTTCATTCCAAGAAGTTATTGCAGGATAACGAGTCAGTGGATTTTTGTGGCATTCCACCCTTACCGAGGGGTAAGTTACCCTCGATTGTGATGAGCTTTAATATTATTAAATATTAATTTTAAAATTTAATTATTTATTATATATTATTTTATTATAAAATTTAATTATTATATTATATTATATTATATTTAATTTAATTTTAAATAATAATTTAATATTATTAATTATATACTTGCTTTAATGGCCGATGAAATTCGGGGAAAGATTATTTTTTCACTGTCAAATCCTCGATGACGATTGATAAGCGTAATCTGGCTTATTGGGAGTGTTATTTAATTGTGAATAATGAATACTGAATTTTATGTATAGAATGTACATATTTATGACACGAGAAAATCTCGGATCTTATTATTTTGTCACACTTTTAATATCGATTTGCGCTTTTAAAAACAACTCTTGACGTATATTTTTTAAATAATATTATCCTTATTAATATCAATTTGTGTTTTTACAAATAACTTGATATATATTTTTTAAATAATGTTATCCTTATTAATATCAATTTGCGCTTTTACAAATAACTTGATATATATATTTTTTAAATAATATTGTCCTTATTAACGAAGTATTTATTCCGAGCAATATTTACTTGATTCTGATCGGCCCCTATCGAGGCAAACGTACTCCACCGCAATCGGGGGTGATTTACCCCTCAATAAGCGTACGAGATCACTAATTTGTTTTCGCGCAATAATTTTTTTCGGAATGAAATCTAAGATCTCCTAAAGATTATACGAACTCCGCGCAGGTTTCAAGTGTTTTCAAATGTACATTGAAACGATCAGGGGTAGTTTACCCCGTGCCACAAATTAAGTTCATAACAAGTTCCATAATAAATCTTCGACCAACTTCAAGCGATTTTTCGTATTAAATCTTATCAACTTCGAGGGGCGGTTTCTCCCCCTAAATACGAAAACGGGCCTATTGTGCTTCCAGTCAATTTACTGTACAGTAAATTCTCCCTAATTGGCGCTCAGATCAAAAAATGGACGATTCGGGAAGAGGAGATACGATTATTAAAGTTTTTATAGTCACCGATTGTCGACGACTATAACAACGAGCCGCGAGGATGAAATAAGTGCATTTCCTCTTCTCAAATTATCTAAGCATCAATTAGGGAGATTTCACCCCAAACAGCGTCAGCATATTTATAAAGTTAGGATTCTTTAAGCACGGCGGGCGACCTCGTGCCACTTCCCTAAAGAACAAGGGTAGTTTTCTCGAGGGATCCGGCCACGGAGCGGGGAAGCCAGGCGTGCCTTTTGGCAAGAGGACTGTGATTGGCCGCTCAGCCTTACCCTGGAGCCATCGAGGCGAACGTTCCTTAATTAAAAATACTGCTAAGATACGCATCCCTTATTTTTCGGCCCATTATATTGCCTCTTTCGTCGCTCGGAACGCTTCGGCGAGCTACATTGGGCTCCGCTTCCCGCTCCTCGCGCGCTTCCATTGGGCCTCGCCTCCCGGCTCCCGCCGCAGCGTCCCGCCCCCCGCGCGCTGCCATTGGACTCCGGCTCCCGCCGCGGCGTCCCGCTCCCCGTGCGCTTCCATCGGCTCACCGCCGCGGCAGTCGCTGGGCGGAGCCCAATGTTGCGTTCCAAAGCGCTCCGAGCGCTGCTCCGCAAAATATCGAAAGATCAGAACAACCGAAAGCGGTCGCCCCGACATAACCTTGATTTCAGCGACCATCCGAAGATGTGTAACGTGTAACGAGACGGTATCGTAGCGCACAGCGATACGTCGACGATCGAACTACTTCTCTCTGCAACGTTAACAAGAACACATTGGCCACTTTCCGATTGGCAGCAGCGACGCCGCTGCGTTTTATCAGCGACACTCGCGCGTATTCGCTATTAGAGCGAGCAAGTTTTTCAACTGAACCGAACAACGAATATAAAAAACTCTTTGGAAACTGATGGTCCAAATGATCGTTCGTTCCGTCATGATCGCATTCGAACAATGTTTTTTCCTTTTCTTTCAATTCTGAAAATTTTCTGTTAACTCGAAAGGGGTCGCGTCGAGCGCTGGAAGAAAAGAAATCGAAATGGCGGACACCTCGGGGTGCTGCGACGGAACGAACGGGCATTTACATCGTCCGCGCACAGTGACGATTAATTAATAACGATGCGAATAAACTGTTCGCATCGCCCCGCCCCCCTCGCGGGGGCGTTCTGCGGGAATAAACGAACGCACGATTTCCGTCGCGCGAATTCCTCCTCCGCCAATGGCTCGTCCGTGCCGCATTAGGCATCGAGCGGTCTCGAGGGCCGGCAGATTCGCAAAAGATATCTAATTTAGAAATTTAAATCTAATTCTCTCGCGGCGCAGTTTCAATTCGGCGTTGTCCGAGCGATGGCTACAGGGGAACGTCGCTCCGGAAACGCGAGGATCGGGCGCGCGCGCGCGCGCTCGCGTGTTCCACAAAAAAGGCAAGAAAGCGAAGCGCCGTCTCGGTCACTTGTTTTGCCAAAGATTGGTCCGACTACCGAACGATTAGTCTGTAACGAGGATCGCGTACGCGCAAGCATTTTTACCGTTTCTACGTTTATAGAATCGACGGTCCGACGGACGACGTCGGCTCGGGACCGTGAAAGCGACGATCCGTTTGGGATCCGTCGCCGTTCATCCGGATCTTGTCATATACGAGCTGTACAAACATTTACATAAATACAAACACATTGTGTATAATATATACATATATATATACATACATATATATATTTACATACATATATATATATGTATACAGTCGAACCCTATACGATTATTATTATTATTATTATTATTATTATTATATGGCACTTGTACATTCGCATTCATCTATCTCGAGCGTGTATAACGCGAAGCATAATCATCCTACGATCATCACCGAAGCATCCTGTTTGGTTTATCTTTGTTTGGAGGGTTGGAAATTAGCATCCTTATTATATATATTTTTTTTTCTCATCCACAAACCGGCACCGCCAGAGAAGACTGGAAAAAAGATCGAATCGCGGGGAAACTAGTCGGAGAAACGTCGTTCGACGGTGTATCGAACAATGAAGCGCCGCGCGCACGTCTTTCCGTATTCTCTGGCGAAACCGGTGCGTACCTCACGCCTATACTTCACGTAAAACCACGGCAAAATTTTACCCTGGGCGCACCTATCTCTCGGAGCTATTGGCTGACTACGTTTATGTGTTGGGTTGGTTACGGGTTTAATCACACTGATCTCTCTCGCCAGTCGCGTAACAACCTCCCCCGCCCCGTGCATCGATCGACGTCACACCTCTCCGGCCTCCGGAGCCCCGTCCCGCCACGCTCCGCCCACTCCTCAGAGGCTCCGCCCACGCTCCGCCCACTCCCCAGAGGCTCCGCCCAAGCTCCGCCCACTCCTCAAAGGCTCTGCCCCGCGCGAAGTTCCACGGAACGGCGGCGCGCCTCCCGTCCGCAATTTTACGTTGTTTCCCCCACCACCTCCGCCCGCCCTTTTTGGTTTCGTTTTAATTTAAATAACCTTGTTGCCTCGCTCTCGCGTCTCGCTTGGCGCCGGGACCTGTTGCAGGGATGGTCGCGCTACTGTCGTTGTTGCGGTCCGATTACAAGCACCACCCGACCGCGAAGAAGAGCGGTCGCACGACGATGTCGGCCGGGCCGAGGGGCGGCCTGGTCGTGGCCGGTAGGCGTGTCAGCAGCAACGCCGGCGACAGCAACAGCTACGACAGCGGCACCGACAACAACAACCCCCGCACCGGGTCCGCCCGCGAAGTCGTGTTCCCCGATTCGTTCGAGGTGCTGCCGCAGCCGCGCGACCTCAGCGTCGTCTACATGGGCGTGCCGCACGAGCAGCAACGGAAGTTCAGGTGTCGGTTCTGCGGGAAGGGATACCGGTGGAAAAGCACGATGCGCCGCCACGAGACGGTCGAGTGCGGCGGCAAGCCGCCCGCGTTCCAGTGCCCCGAGTGCCCCTACAAGGCCAGGCAGAGGGGCAACCTGACCGTCCACTACAAGCGACATCATCAGAAGATCGGCTACGACGAGGGCGCCTAAACGATCGCCTTTAGATAGTTCGCCGTACGCGAAGTCGTCCTCGATAACGCGCGCGAACAGCATACGCGAAACTCTTTCGCGCGCTCTCGGATTGGTTCCGTGTCGCTTGGCCGCACAGTTCGCTTTCTTCTTTTAGAGTACAATGTTTTTTCTACGTTTTTCGAGTCTTTTCTGGTCTACGGTTTTATTTCTTGAAGGGAAATGTCTTTTCATCACGAAGAGATTTCTTCGCGCGATTTTTCTGCAGCGGTTTTTGCTCAGTTCGGTAATTCAGCGACCTCTCCGTAACTGTCGGCGAGTCCTCCGCGATAACTGTCGTAATTCCCCGTAGCTTTGGCGATTCTCTCTCGCGAAATCGCTGGCTGTCGCGGAGTTCGCGTAATTTACATAGCTCGCATATGTAATTGAAAAGAATTCGTAGAAGCAAAAAGCCGTCTTTTCCCGCGCTGCGACGCGCGTTTATGTCGCGACGACATATTTTCGGTGTTTCGCGGTTATTTTTTAATATAACCACATTATATTCGCGCGCGTTCTCGAGCGACAGTAATGGAATACTTCGATCTCGATTTATAAATTGGCCCGCAGAAAGGCCGAGCGAGATTTCCCGCGCGACACGGAACGCGCGGAATTGTTTGACCGTGCAGAGATGCACTCGAAACACGGGTCGATCGATTGTACATAAAAGAAAAAGAAAAGAAAAAACGAAAGCGGAGCCAAGCGTCGAGACGCGGCGAAAGAGTTCGGCTGTTCGCGGCCACGTTTCGGCGATTTCGTGACACGCAAAAGGGTTCGCACAAAAATCCGGGCGTCGTTGTCGCGGACCACTGTAGAAAGTTTAGGATAATTTCCGCCTAATTTCTCGAGTATAATAATTTACCTCAGCTATAAGAGTTCATCGTGGTATTTCGGTTCTACGTGTACATAATCTTGAATCTTGACTACTTTTTACCCCTTTGAAAGGTATTTTTTTTTTCTTTTTCTTTGCTTTTGTATAACGTGTAGGCGTTCTATTATTTAGGTAAGCACGACAATACTTGATTTTTTACGGTTTCGAACGGACGTCAGCGTGTACGCGCGCGCACGCGCGTGTATGTACATCTATGCATGTATATCCGAGAGCCCGCTCGAGAACAGCTCAATTTTCTGCGAGGATCGCAGATCACGAACAAAGAAACATTCCAACGCGGCGCGGATGATCGGAATACAGTAATGTCTCCCATACTGACGCTCAGATTGTCCCCCATAATGGACAATTTTGGAAGAGCAAAATACGATTATTCGAGCCTAGCAACTCGTTTTTATTTATTGTTGACAATTGGTAACTTTACGAAAACGAACCACAAGGCTCGAACAATCGTGTCTCCTTTCCCAAAATTGTCCATTCTTGGGGGCAATCTGAGCGTCAGTATGGGAGACATTACTGTACAATTTTTATTCGAGTCTCAGGATCGCGAGCGACTTAAACGCAAGCGCGACGGAGCGATTTCGACGCGCGTTACAGACGGGAGCGCTCTCTCCCTCTTTAACTCTCTTTATTTCTCTTTCTCTTTCTCTCTCTCTCTCTCTCTCTTTATCTCGCTTTTTATCTCCCGCGTGTCACGACGCAACAAAATTGACGGTCGCGAGCGACTTAAACGCAAGCGCGACGGAGCGATTTTGACGCGCGTTGCAGACGAGAGCGCTCTCTCTCTTTTTTTCTTTTTCTCCCTCTCTCTCCTTTTTTTTCTCTCGCTTTTTATCTCCCACGTGTCGCGACTCATCAAAGTTTCTGCAAAAATCTTTCACCGTAGTGTCTCCCGATATTTTCTAGTACTTTTATATACCGCAGGTGTATTATTTTCTTTTTCTTTCTTCTTTTTTGCTTTTTATCCGTCTAGAAGTTACGCCATTTCTCTCGATTCCTCGAAATCGTCCCGAGCTGCGCGCTCGAACGGAACGCGCAAGAACTGAGAAGAAGCACAGCCGCGAAATCACCGATCATTCCGTGCGCGAATTAATCGAATTTGTTGCGGAAGCGGAAATTTATGCAAATGGAAATTTATTCGTCGCGAAATATCGCTGATCGAACGAAGGAAGAAGCATCTTCTGAAATTTCATCTTGGTCGAGGCGACCGGATAATAATATCGCCGCGATCGAATTTGCCACGAATCGTAAGGTTAACCCTTCGCACTCGAATGCACCTAAATCTAAAAGAATGCACCTAAAACTAAAATTGTTATAACACGTTCCGAGATCATTTCTATATTATCGAAGTTTCGATTTTAAAAAAAAATTCTCAAATGTGTAACTATCGTGAATGAATCACAAAGCTGAATTTCATATGCATAAAAAATGCACTTTGTCATACAAGATAGAAAAATTACTAAAAAATATGATATTTATATATATTATATATAATATATATTAAATTAATATATATAATATAATATAATATAATATAATATAATATATAATATATATATATATAAAGTAATTTCTCTGATTTACATCATATATTACTAAATATATGATAAATCAGAAAAATTACTTTAAATTTGCGGTTAAAATGTGCATTCGAGTGCAAAGGGTTAAATTCCTGAAAATATTGTAATAAATTGCTCAAGAAGTATTCCGGTCGATTTCATCTGTTTCGAAAGATCAGCGTTACGAACGCGCGCGCGAGTGATTTTGCATAGATCGTCCGCAATTTCGCGAGAACGATAACAAAAGGGTAATTGAAGAAAGTGCCTTGTTCTGGGAAGGGAACGCGTGAAAATATATTTAAAACGTATATATATATGTATATCGCTGGTGATTTTTATGGAATGATCTCCGGAGTATGGGTTACCTGAGAGCACTTTATAGACTTATATATATATATATACTACATAGACAATAATTATTCGACGATCTTCCAACCGTTTTATCGACGGAATAGTCGGAGGGATCGACGATCGGATCTTGACGGTCCATTGTTCGCATGTACGTAATTTGTACATCGATGTTTCTGTTCAAACAAGTTAGCTGTCTTTGACGAGTATACGCGTCGCGAGGAAATTACAATATTTCGCGGTACGACGAGTATACTCGTCACGAAGAAATGACAATATTTCGCGTTTTGACAATGCCAATATTTCGACGAGCATACTCGTCATGAGGAAATGACAATATTTCGCGGTATGACGAGTATACTCGTCACGAAGGAATGTCAATATTTCTTGTTCATGACAAATATACTCGTCACGAAGAAATACTAATATTTCTCGTTCACGACGAGTATACTCGTCACGAAGGAATGTCAATATTTCTTGCTCACGACGAGTATACTCGTCGCGAAAAAATACCAATATTTCGATAAGTATACTCGTCACGTCTAAAAAAAAACAGTCGCAACTTACCATCTAAATTCCTATTTTTAATAAAAGCTGAAATAGATTCGAACATTTCAAGATATTCAGAATATTTTCAGGACAAAAGTCGAGTTAAAACGTACAAATAAAAATAACACGAACAAACCATCATTCGAACAAAATATCATTAAAAAAAATATCAACAATCGCTGACTGTTTAAACAGAAACATTCGAGATCCGTCTCCATCCCTCGCGCGATTCCGATCATTGTATCTTTCTTGACACGTTCGGCGCCGCGTCCGTCACAAATAACACTAATTTTTCACCAATTCTGAAAATTCATTTTCCTCGCAATATATAAAAAAAAAGAAAAGAAAAGAACTGAATTCAACCAAGACATTTCGTACACGAAAAAATGTTCCAACTTTTCATTCGCTAAAATAAGTTCTAAACTTTGCTGTTCATTCGCTAAGATAAATCAAAATAAATAAAATTCAAAACAAATATTATTTAATAAAGAAAACTTTTCAGTTGTGATCGTCGTTCAGTTGAACTGACATCAAATTGCTTCGACTTCCCGGCGCAATTTCAGTGCTCGATCGTCGTCGTCGAACGTGTTAAACCTTGTATCAATCGTCGCGATCATGCTCGCGACGTATGATCGTCGATCGCATTGTAATCGCCCGGCATCGGAATTACTTAAGCAACAGCAACCCGATCCTGTAAGCATATTGTAAGCAAGCGCCGAGCAACGAGTTGCCGATTTAGACGCGAAAGGGTTGTAAATAGAAGCGCCGCTTAGATGTTAAGAACGTCGAGAGGGGACCAATCGCGTGTCTTTTTCGCGCTGGAGCCGTCAGGAACGGGTCGAGCGACTCGCGTCTTATCTCCACGATTTCTCTCGAATTTTCCTAAACGCGATAATCGCCCGAAGAAAAAAAGTCGCGCGAAGCTCTCGAAATTCATTCCTTAACAAAATTGCCCGCCGGCTCGCGGCCCGTTCCACAAATCCGGCGTCAGTCGCGCGAGCTCGTTTCCCCGCTCGAAAAAACGTCGAGCGGGGCCGAGAGCGAGATATCGCGCGGAAACGCGCCGAGAACAAGGCTATACGAACGACATTCCAGAATTTCGCCGAGATTTTCGATTCTTTTTTCGCCGAGAAATTGAACCCTTGTTCGGTCGTTCCGCGCCGCCGCGTTCGCCACCCTTACAAAGGGTGGTTGATCGAAATCGCGTACGGAATAACGCGTGTATTCTCCATTTTTCTTTCTTTCTTCTTTTTCTCGTTTCTTTTCTTTTTTCTTGTTCGTTTTACAACGAACGTGTTTTTTCTTTACGCGCACAAAGAAAGTGAGAGGAAGAATTATTATTGTGTATATGCTTAAGAAAGAGAAGAGAAAAATAGGGAGCACGTCGAAACGGAGGGAGGAGTAGGAGGAGGATTTTTTATCTCTTCGCGCGCACGCTCTTTCTCTCTCTCTCTCTCTCTCCCACGGACACGGCGTGCGCCCCGTCGTATTTTTGATATCAGTATTCGCGGATAACTCGCGTCGACCTGCCTGCGAAAACGTAGGATATACTCGTTTACAAATCGTATCCCACTGGTACCTCACTGGTTGTCAGTCTCGTGTTACCGATACTTTTATCGTTTTCTAGAATTTTAAGCGAACAGAATTTCTCACACGCCGATTTTTTTCACTTCGCGCGCCCATCGTCGTCGTCGCTGTGCGGGCGACCAGCCAGCAGCATGTCGGCGTGCACCGATAGGAAATCGTTATTTACACCCACCCTCTCCCTCTCCCCACCCAACGACCAACCCTCCGTCCCACCCTCGACCCCATCGAATACTCGTTCCGGTATTTAGCACGTCGAATTCTCTTTTTTTGGAAAGGTTTACCATGCGAATTATCTATCATCATTATTGCTAGCGATTATTATTATTATTAATATTATTATTAATATTATTATTGTCAATATTATTAATATTATTAATATTAATATTATCAATATTAGTATTATTAATATTAATATTATCAATATTAGTATTATTAATATTAATATTATCAATATTAATATTATTATTATTATTATTCTATTATTATTATTATTATTAATAATATATTATTATATTATTATTATTTTTATTTTTATTATTATTAATAATATTATTATTATTTTTATTATTATTAATTATTATTATTAATTATTATTATTATTATTAATAAAAAGACAATTTTTGTTGCGGGTTATTTTCTAAAGATCGTGTGCGAGTCATTCATCCCCCGCGTGTTTTGCCTCCCGCCCCCCACTTCGATCTGAGCCGAGCGCTCTTCAACCGAGCGGGAATGATCAGGTAGAAAGATCAGCCGATTAATCGTGGCAGAAATGTCAAAAAGATCGTGGGACGGAAATCGAATTTCACACAGCGATCCGGCGGACACACGGGGAGAGAACGTAGGTCTTGGGTGTGCGCGCAGAGACCATCGGGTACGAGAGATATAGTGCCGGGGAACCGACCGACAAACAAACCGTCTGCTTCGCGCGAGTGTCTCCGCATTCTGTGCTAACCGAGTATCTCTGTTTTTTTCAGCGTGTTGGTACCGGCTGCCGGTGAGTTTCGAGACGTTTCCGTGCGACACGTGCGGCAGACAGTACAGGCGGATCGTCACGTTGCAACGGCACAAGAGGCTCGAGTGCGGCAAAGAGGCGCAGTTCGAGTGTGTGCTGTGCCACGCGAAGTTCAAGCACAAGCACAGCCTGCTCAGGCATTATAACGTGCACGCGGCGGACGCGAAGTCGGCGAAGCTCGTCGCCGCCGTCGCCGACGACGAGGACGAGAGGAGGCCGCCCGTATGACGGCCGACGATGGTGACTTCTTCGACGCCGGCGGATGGAGGATGTTGTTGCGCCTGAGACGCGCGTGAAAGGCTCCGTCAGAGGACGACGACGCATGGTTTCTGACGCGCGAAACAAACCCCCGACGACGCAGGCATCGATGGGCACATCGGGAAGAAGCTGTTTGGGAAGCGAATTGTTTTGGCCGTTGAAACGTGCTCGACGAATCGGCTCTGATCGGCTGGTTTCGGAGATTTGACGGCGTGGACGGTGTGCTGGGCGCGACGGAGTTGTGCTGAGTTGAGATTGGTCGAGGGGGAGGCGTTATGGTTACAGAGTAATTTGTAATTTAGATTGGGTTTGGTTGAGTTTATTAAATTGCATTGTATTGCAATTGCATTGTATTTGAATTAGATTGTATTGCAATTGCATTGTAATTGAATTAGATTTTATTTCGGTTGCAAGAAAGCAATTCCAATAGCATTGTAATTGAATTAGATTTTATTTCAGGTGCAAGAAGGCAATTCCAATTGCATTGTATTCAATTGCATTGTATTTGAATTGCATTGTATTTCAGGTGTAAGAAGGCAATTCCGATTGCATTGTATTCAATTGCATTGTAATTGAATTAGATTTTATATCAGTTGCAAGAAAGCAATTCCAATTGCATTGTATTCAATTGCATTGTATTTGAATTGCATTGTATTTCAGTTGCAAGAAAGCAATTCCAATTGCATTGTATTTGAATTGCATTGTATTTCAGTTGCAAGAAGGCAATTCCAATTGCATTGTATTTGAATTGCATTGTATTTCAGTTGCAAGAATGCAATTCCAATTGCATTGTATTTGAATTACATTGTATTTCAGTTGCAAGAAAGCAATTCCAATGGCATTGTAATTGGATTGCATTGTATTTCAGTTGCAAGATAGCAATTCCAATTGCATTGTATTTCAATTACATTAAATTTCAATTGCATTGTACTTGAATAACACTCCTGATTCAAATAATTAACAATCGAGTGAAACTAAACGTTTCAATCATGTAACTGATCTACGATGTACTCGAGTTACTCTGAATTAATTCTTGTGCACTGCATTACCATATAATCGAAATACGATGCAATTAAATCGCGAAATGCACTTACAATTTAACCAAACTTAGCACAACTCTGGCGTACGACAAGTGATTCCCGGCAATTTCGATAGAAGTCTCGTTGAAAAAAAGCACTTACTCGCGGCAATTTTACACGAAAGAGACGAAACAATTGAACAAATTTTATAAAAAAGAAAAGAAAAAGTTATCCCGTCAGAAAATCCATTAACATACTCTCCAATGCGACTGTACATGCACACACGCGTGCACACGCACGAAACGAAAGTACTCAAAAAATAGGCGGATTCGTCGCTAAAAATTCACCGAACTTCCGGTCTCGCGTCACGAAATTTCTGTTAATTGCCGCCGATCTAACGCGTGCCAGATCAACGATGTATACAATGTTATCGACTATGAATATAAATTTATTAATCTTCGAAGCGCTCGCAGGGGTAATAATCGGAATTATTTGCGAACGAGAGATTTCGGCAGTCCGCGTGGACAAGCCATGATACGTCCGAGGTGCTTAAGAGATTGTTCGAGATAACAAATTATCTCTCTAGACGAATTGTACAACGCCGGTGTGATCTATAAACATGCCGTTACGAGTTTACGGCGTGCCGACCTAATCGTTTGAACAAATTAACGCCTACTGTTACGGAGAATAAAAACAATTATATTTCCCAAAACGCAGCTCCTGTTTATTGCATGCGACGCGCGCGCCCTTCGTTCCGTCGCGTCCGACAAAGACGCGCGAGCTACGTGAAACAAAAAAAAATTGTACCCGCTGCGAAAAATTGTAGCAATTTCGTCCGACGGCGATCGACCTAATAAAAGAGCAAAAAACAGATGCCTGTGCATCGGACAGGTAACGCGCGAAAAGTCCGCCGATTTCTCGGCGTATCGACGATTCCGACGTCGACGGAGCCCGCGATCGGAACACCCTCTTTATCGTCTCCTTTTGTTTCAGGTTGCTGGGTGCAGCTGCCGTCGCGATCCGCGCACGTCCGGAACCTGACGTTCGTCCGGCAGTCGGACATCGGGGAGTACCGGCGCTTTTACAAGCCGGTCCGCGCTGCCTGCGGCCAGTCGAACTACAGGTGCCCGAACTGCGGCCGCTATTACATGCGGAGCTCGTGCCTGCAGCGCCACCTGCGCGTCGAGTGTGGCCAGGCGCCGAAGTACCAGTGCAACGTCTGCCAGAACTGGTTCAAGTACAAGTACAACCTGACGGCGCACCTGCAACTACACTTGGAGGAGCCGAAGTTCCAGTGCGACATCTGCCTGAGGAGATTCTACAGGCACGACAAGCTGGTCAAGCATCGGACGATCGCGCACAGGATCCTGTGCCGCGCCTAATTCGCGCGGGCCGATAGGTCGACGACGGCTGTTCCGATTTCTCGGCCGCGTCTCGTGCGACGCGACGAGAAAACGTGGCCGGACGATTGCTACTCTGTCGCAGGATTTATTATAGGCGGTGTGACATTAAATGCCTCGAAATTTGGCACCGAGAGATTCCCGAGGCGATTTCGAGCAACTTTTTCCTTTGCGGAAATGCGATCCGCCGCTTCGTTCACGAGTTATCGACGAAAAACGTGGGCCAGTCCGACAGCGGGCGCGGCCGGCGCTCCGCCCACGCGACCAATGCCGCGGCGACGCGGCGATCGCGTAGGCGTGGCGTCGGCCGTCCCGCGCAGCGGCGACGCCCGCGGTCGCTCATCCGTCAGCTTTCTTCGTCGATAACTCGGAAACGAAGCGGCGGATCGCATTTCCGCAAAGGAAAAAGTTGCTCGAAATCGCCTCGGGAATCTCCCGCGCCCGGTTTCGAGACATTTTTCCGAGATCTTGTATACGCGTTTATTATATGTACGTGTTTATGTACGCGTTATATGTACGCGTCTATTATGTACACGCGTTTATATTATGTACACGCGTTCATTATTAACATATCTCGTGTACTTCATATGATAACCGATCGTTGGCCCCACCCGGGCGCCTTCCATTTCTCGCGGCCAGTTTTTACGACGCTTCCGCGACGACGACGACGATTCTATGTAACTCATATGTAACAATCTTGAAATATTAAAAGCTTGTGTACGGACGCAAAAATGGTTCGCAAATTCGTCGTCGGACGATTTCTAATGCCGACTTTTCAGCTGTTCCAGGTGTATCGGTACCGTTTCCCCAAGGAAGAACGACGATCCAACGGGCCGCGCGGTTCGTTGGCTCGCGAAATCTGGAACGGTAGTTCATCCGTATCTGACTTTTTCAGGTGCATTTCCGGGATGCTCGGATATGCCGCGTAGATTCGAGGAGATCCGGGAGATCGCCGCCGAAGAGGATCGTCGTCCCAAGCGTGTTTCTCTCCGACGAAGACTGCTCGAGGAGACGTCGGCGACTCTGGGACGAATTTGTAACGAACGCGGAGCATCATCGGCAGCGTCCCGATCGTCGAAAAGTAAACTCGAAAACCGATGGAAAGCCGGCGAGAATCCCCGTCCACAAGCGTTTCATTTATTTACCCTGTAAAATCTAGTTCTCCGAATTTGCTCGCGCGGCTGTGCCCGCCAGGCAGGTACGTTCCGTTCCAACGACGTCGTTCCGACGAACCGACAGGACGGAGCTCGCGCGTCATTTTCGACCAGACAATAAAGAAAAGAAAAACGGCGCATCGCGCGCCCCGAGACCGAAAAATCGAGCTCCTCCGGCGCGCTCTTCGACGCGGTCGACGCGTCGTCGACGAGATTTCGCGTGCGCCGCGAGCCGCGAAGACCCTTCCCAAATCCATGACGAGTCGCGTTCGAGTCGCGATTGGTCGATCGCGAACGACGCGCCTCCTCCACGTCCTCGTGCACCGACGAACGTAAAAAAAGCACACCTCTTCCAGCCGTCGACGACGCGCCGCGACGACGAATAATAGAAAAAACAAAGAAAATCTTATGCTCGTCGGTGCACAAAGAGAGAAACATTGAAGTGTGTGCTGCCGAAGTGAAAGTGAAAACAGAGGCGCCGACGTTGCCGTGGGACAAGCCTAAAGCTGTTCTTTTTGTTTCGGGGTTCCAGATGAGGGGGCGGAGAGCAAGGTGGCGGCGACCGAGGAGAACGCGGACCTGCCGGTGCAGGCGTGGAAGATACAGGAGCAGGGGCTGCCGTTCGCCGAGCTGAAGATACCGAAGGCGTACAATTACGTCGGGAAGAAGCCGCGGGGTCAGTTCGGCTGCAGCAGGTGCGGAAGATCGTACATGAGGAAGGACTCGCTGCAGCGGCACGTGCACTGGGAGTGCGGCAAGGAGCCACAGTTCCAATGCCCTTTTTGCCCGCAACGCTGCAAAAGGAAGGCCCACTGGCTGAGGCACATCCGCCGGCAGCACATCGACAAGATGGGCGACATGGAGTCCTATTTGCTCGCCTACACGCCGAAGCTCGAGATCGACTGAGCGCGAGCCTCTCTGCTCGAGCCGCCGCTTTCCTCCCGCGGCCCTGCGGCGTGTCCCGTTTTAATCTCTTCGAGGTCGAAGGGTCGTCGGGTCGCGGATCTCGATGCTCTTCGCAGAAATCGGATCGTTGGTCTTCGAAGTCGACACGCGACTTTCGAAGCGGCTGGCGAGGAGATCGTTGCTCTCGACGTTTCGCGCGACTCTTTTCGTATTTTTATGGATAGATTGATTATTTACTGTTCTGGAACGTTTTTAGCGAGCTTTTTTCTATATTATTTTGATGTGGGATCACGCTTGCTGGGATCTAGAAGCCTAGGATCGACGATTTTTGATTTTTCGACGGGATCTGCAGCGTGAAACAGCGACTCGTTTAGCGACTCGCGGTCTTTCTTTTGCTCTTTTTACGGGACCGCTTGATACTTTTCTATTTTAGAACGTTTTAGCAACCTTTTTTCTAAATTATTTCGATCTTGGATCACACTTGCCGGGATCCAGAAGCCTAGAATCGATGAATTCTCGTTCTTTCGACGGGATCTACAGCGTGAAACAGCGACTCGCGGTCTTTCTTTTGCTCTTTTTATGGGACCAGTTGCTATTTTTCTATTCTGGAACGTTTTAGCGACCTCTTTTCTAAATTATTTCGATCTGGGATCACGCTTGCCGCGATCTAGAAGCCTAGAATCGATGAATTCTCGTTCTTTCGACGACCTGCAACGTCGAATTTGCGACTCGTTTAGCGACTCGCGCTCTTTCTTTTCGAAATAACTTCGATCAGAGATTATGCTAGCCGGGTATAACGGCGATAAGGCCCACACGGGAGTCCTACAATCGACGAATTTTCTTCATACGTTCCAATGAATAAGTATTATTGCCTTCTACGTCGACGATCGCGAGCACCCCGCATTAATCTAATCCCGCATTAAGAAGCACCTTGCGAGATCCACGGTTCCAACGATGCGACGATTCTCACGGGTTTAAAATTCCGATACGATCTCAGAAACGTGTCTGCTCGATGCCGAGACACCTGGGTCCACGCGTTAGCCGCTTGGGTGCAGATTTATCCGAGAGAATGCTCGTCTTTCGGACGGATTTAATTCGATGACGCGCGAAACGTTACACGAACGTGGTTGATTTTCCGCGAGAATTCTCGTTCGTTCGACTAATCACAAGGCTGAATTACGAATCAGACTCGTCAGTCTGAGTTACGAGTGCCACTCGTCGAACGCACCCAAAGGGTTAACCGTTGTCCTCGTCGAAACGCGACAAACTCGACCGCCGGCGACCGACTCGAGGGATTAAAGCGGCGCATTTCGTATCCGAGAGATGGATCACGATCGACGGATTTCAACGCGGCCCGATAGACAAATCGCTGCCGATCGATAATCGTTGTTTCTCTCCGCCCGATTTCAGCGTTCGCGGATGTTCGAGGGGAGGGCGGGGAGCGGATTCGCGCAAAACGAGTCCCCGAAACGTGGCGCCCGAAGTCGCCACGACTCGCGATCTATTTTTCTAAAACTAATCATGCGAATCATTACGAATTATTGCGGATTACTGCGGAGCGTCCGTAGGAACATGGCGCGCGCGCGTCTCGCGCAGCAATTAGCAATTAGGCGCGGACGCGCGCGCTCCGAAGGGAAACCCGAACGGTTTCGCTTCGTCTTCACGGACCATAGTATTTTGTACGCCAGAACTCGCGTTCTTCAGCGCATCGATCTTCTCTCCCTGCGTTTTCTCCGATCGCCGCGCGTGCGCTCATTTTTTTTCTATTTTTTTGTTTTGTCTCGGAAAAATATAATAATAGTAATAATAATATTCGGAATATTACGAAGATATATTCTCGATATCTGGAAGAGAAAGGATCGTGCGAGAAAAACGCTCGTTCCGCGTACAAAAAAAAAATGAGAAAAAGGACGAAAGAAACGACGAATTTTTTTTTTTCTTTAATTATCGTTCGTCGCGAGACCGCCGCGCGTCGGTATTAATCGTTAAGTCTTTTGTCGTCTCTCTGCGACACAAAGAGCACATCGACTGATACATATATTTATTATTATTACTCTTGTGTACAATGAATTTACCAATGTTTTAGTTTCATGCGTACCACATTTGCGTTTTCTCCCCCCCCCCCCCCACCCTCAACCCCACTCGTATCATATAAGTTTCTAATAATCTAATCTCTATTTTTTAACATATCTCTCCTGTGTTTTTTGTTTTATTTTTATTTTTATTTTTGTCATTCTCATTTCTTCTTAAATGTAACATCGAATTCGGCTACCTTTTTTTTCTCGATACACGTTTGTTCTCTCCTTCGAATCTTCTTCGTTTTCTCTTTTTTCTTTTTTTTTTGTTTCCTTCGTTTTTCTTTTTTAACGATAATAATAATAATAATAATAATAATAATAATAATACCGTTTCCAATGAAGTGCCTTGAAAACGTAGGTGTAATTAACCGATCGCCCCAGACAATAAAAGTGCGATTTTCATCCGAGAGCCGAACTTTTAAGAGCTAGCCTTAAAAATGCGAGAATGAAACGAACGAACGAAAGAAAAGAAATGAAAGAAAGAAAGAAAAGAAAAACAATTTAGAGTTATATATTATAGCATAGACGAACGAACTATTGTCGGCGACATGTATTATTTTCGACGGAACGTTACTCTAGGGGAGCGCAGCGCCTAAAAGTTCGCCATAATTCGAAATGCGACGACGAGCTCCTCTCGTTAAGACTGAATCATGTCCGTTACACGATAATTAATCATGCGTCCTAGTATTATTATATACGTATACATATATATATATATATATCTGTCTGTGCGACCATCTCTTCTCACATCGTGTTTCCGTACGATTATTCTTTTTCCTTTCTTTTTTTTTTTAAATCGAATAAATTTGTCGGCTGACGAATTGTACCAACAAAAATGATGACGATGATGATGATGATACATGATGACATCCATAAAAGAGAAAGAAGAAAAAAAGAAAAAACACCACCGACGAGCAACCGAAAACAAAGAGAAAAAAACTCTCGGGGCGCCGAGTCACCTCCGTACCGTCACCGTTTTCTTTATTTTTTTTTTGTTTTTTTTTCTCTCTTTTCGTTTTCTCCCCCCCCCCCCCCCCCCCCCCCCCTCTCCCCCCCTTTCTCCTTTCCT